GCGGTGGCGGTTGCTTGACCGGGCGTGGACGCGGGACGGCTGGAGGTGAGGGGCAGCGCTGACGGGTGGGGCCAGGTTGACAGAGGGAAGGAGCGGCGATAGTTGTTGCAGTCTTTGGGCAGGCCAGCTTTCTTGGGCTAAGCCTTGAGCGATGGCTTGACTTCATGAGTGGGCTGCCTGTGAAGGAAGCAGAAGAGGGGGAAAAGGAGGAGGCTTGCGGGCAAGGGAGAAAGGGCTTGCGGGCCAGATAGAAAGAGGGAGGAATGAGAAACGAAGAAGCCTTTTCTTTGTCCAAATGAATTTTCCAATTCCATTTTCAAATAATTTTTTTGATCCTTTTGAGTTTAAATCAAACCACTCAACATATTAATTACAATGCTCCAGCATGAGTGCATCAACATGTATCTATACTTATGATTGATTTTAATTTCACAAAAAAATTATTAATTTCCTATATTTGAATGCACGCAATATAACATAAATAAATCAAATTTAATATTTTAAAATATTGCAAATTTTAGGGTGTTACATCGACCAAAAAGGTTGTGATGCAATACAGTAGTCAAATCTCATTTTAGATTTAGGTACAGACGAGATCACAAGAGTGTGTTGTCCTAGCACATATATAGCAGACATGTTTCTACTCCCTGAATTCACCATGTTGTGTATATGGCTACTTTGCATGTTACATTTTTAATTTACAATTTCCATTTCTACGAATCCAACATTTTTTCGTTTTAGTCCTGAAACTAAGAGATGCTGGATTCCAAGGAGCAGGAGAAATGGAAATTGTAAATTAAAAAATAGAACATGCAAAGCCTACATCCAATTGTGTGTTTTGCATTCATCGTAAATCAAAGTGTTATTAATTAATACATATAATTCTTTTTATATGTCTAAACTAACTACCTGTTGAGCTATGTTTTGCTTCTATGGCTGTCTTCATACCAATGCTTTTGCCATTGTTAACTGCATAAGATTTTGTACCTTCTATAAATCCTTTTCATTTTCACATATAAAAAAATATATATAATGCTCCATCAAATATTCAATTAGACGTATAACACTATAAATTTTCATGGCACCGCACAGGGTGTCATTTAGTATATATCAAAAGTTATGCACCAAAAAAGACAAACAATCCATAATTCAACGCAGAGTGAATACATTTTTTAAGCATGACACTACACTATAAATTTTCAAAAGAAACTGCACGGGGTGCCATTTAGGGTATGTTTGGATGGACTAGGATTAGTTGTTGGCCATGGCTAAAAATTGCTAGCTAAAAATTAGCCAATTAGTTGTTAGGCCATACATATTTGTATCATGGGCTAATATATAGAGAGAGAGAGAGAGAAAATATGAGATATATGTGACTTTTTTATACCTGTAGTACTTTTATCCCTGATTTGAAGGACTAGTGATCTAACAACTAGTTAGGCTTTGGCCCACCAATTAGCCCTCATTTTTATTTCCTCAAGAGCTAAATTTTAGCAACTAATTATTAACCCATGCGATCAAACAGAGCCTACGCCTAATAAAAATACAAACAATCCATAATTTAACGAAGAGGGAATACATTTTTTTAAGAACGTCGTGATTGCCCTCACAAATTTAAGTAATAAGCCTAGTAGCACTTCTTAGACTGCCTCTAACCGGAGATTCATTATGGAACCCAAATCTAAAATGGATCTCCAACACAATATCTATAGACTCCAACAGAGTACATGTATGGAAGACATATTTTAGATTCGGTATAACCCAAATCTGAGTATCCTCTCTTCTAGAAATCCATTTATAGAAAAGGGTTGTTTTTTGTGTCTTGTTGTTGAAGAAAACAAGAATATATATTAAACTATTTGTCTGTAGCGCCAACTAAAGAACAAATACGCTTTGTATTTTGGTTCGTGGTGGTTAAAGACGGTCTTAGAAACGGACGTACATGCATCGCAGCTCGGAAAACTAGATCCTGGCTTAGATCCGAACAAGTCGGGCAATCGTTGATGGCGGAACCCTGTCCATGGAGAAGCCTCTTCCACACTCAACAGGATACCGATTTACCGTGGAGAAACTTTCCAGGTCGTTACGCCGTAAACTGGCGTAGTCGTTTACTATCTGCGATCGGTTTCCTTTCTTCGAGTACTGATCTTCGGCAGGAGCAGTGCTGACATTATTCGGCGTTGTCGAGGAAGCGATCTGGTGAACCCCCGATGGCTATATTGTTTAGGCCTTTTCCATGTTTATTTGCCAGTTTCTTATCGGGGCCGATCTAGTATGATATCTATTGTTTCAATTATTAGGTGCCATTTGGATCTTTTATTTAGAGAAATTAAAATTTACTTAATAAACTAGGCTATTTGGCTTGACATTTAATATTCCACTTCTTTTCAAAATTTACATATAAGTCTATCTTAAATTCATGGGTTATAAATAGAAATTGATTCTATAACATGCTATGTTTCTACTTTATAACTTATAATATGTTTTTCAACTCACTCTCCTAAGGTACAAATACAACACATAAATATCTTTCTTGTATAACCTACAATAATATACAAATATAATTTATATACAATCATATTAGTTTAATTAATATGTATCTAAATTATGATTATTAAAATGAATTCAATTCCAATGATGTGAACGGACCCTAGATTTCCTATACTTGTTTTCTGTAATTGGAGTAATTCATTCATCGACCACTGATATACGTCGGAGGTCCCTATATATATGAACTTTAAATGCATATTGAATTTGCATAATTAATGTCCACACATAAATTATATTTTCAATAGATTGTTTCTGCAAAATATTTTTTTATTCAATCACATGTCTTTTCTTATCTTTATCTACCTATCAGATTTCTACTTATCTTATTGCTGTGTAGACATTGTCCCTTATATAAGAAACCATTTCTTTCATCTCTTCTTTAATTCCAATACGATATCATCGTTTTACTTAGTTGACACCTTAATTAATGAACATAGAAACATTTTACTAGTTTCTAGGTTGTACTCTTATCATCTAGTTCAAGGGAAATAATATTTGTCACGTTGGTTGGCACATTGTTTTTTAGGCATGTTTGGAAGTCCTGTTTTGCATCCAAAACCACAGTAAATATATGAGTCTAGAAATTTTACAGCTCAATCCTAAAAATGTTGTTTGATGTCTAGTGAGGCCACTTAAGAGACACAAACTTCACTGTAGAGCAGCTCTAAAAAAATCCTAGAACGTGTAGAGCACCTCTTTTGGTACTCTCGTAACTTCACTTTTTTTTTTTCTGTTTGGCTAAAAACATGAAAAAAACATAAAGTGGAGCTGTCCCGACACCCTCAAAACACAATGGTTTTGGAGTCTTTTCGACCGGAAAAATAAACAGACCTGGTCAGCTCACATTTTTTTATCCGACGGATATCGGGCTTACGCCGCACCTTTCCTCTGCGGCCGTTCCGCACCGCCCGCCGCTCTCCTCTCCATTGTCCTTTCTCGCGCGGGCGCAGCCTCACCTTCCTCCTCTGCCGCCGTTCCACACTGCCAGTCGCGCTCCTCTCCTCTGTCCTTTCTCGCGCGGCCTGCGCTGGTCCTCTGAGATGCAGCCCCCCTTTCTCGTGCGGCCATGCTGGTGCTCTACGGAGATGCAGCCCTTTCTCGAGCGGCCGTGCTGATGCTCTTCCGAGATGCAGCTTGATTCTCAGACCGGACCCCCTGCCCCCTCCAGGTTGGTCACCATCATCAAGGTGGATCCGTGATGAATTTTGTCATGATATTATTCATGGTGGTGATCTTTGCCTTTTCTCTTTTTCAGCAGCATATGTGGGACATCTGTATATCTTGCTACTAGATTCTGAAGTGCTGGGTTCGGTTGAGAAGAGGAATGAATAGATTGATTTCTTCCTTTTTTATTTGTACAATTTTGAGTTAAGAAATTTTCAAAATGAGTTCAGATCTAAACTCACGGTCAGCCAGTGACGCACGTCACCCTGCTCATCCCCTCTCGCTCTGTTTTGATTCCTCAGAAATGCCTATAAAATATGTGAGCGTTTTTTTATTGGATACAAGACTCAAGTACAGGTTGGTTTTATTTACAAAACATCTAAACAATAGTTTGCAGTGGGAAATGTTTTTCAGTGGGTTTGTTGTGCACTACAAATTACAACCGGAAGACAATTGCCAGTGAATACATTTACAGAACTCCCAGACAGGGCCTTAGAGATGGAAGCTTTTATTGATTTTACTGATCATAACATCAAGATGATATGACGCCTTGAAACAATTTCGATGAAGATATTTTATGAAAATCGAATTTCAATCCGGTTACACTTGTTGGTAACTTTCGAATTTCAATCCAGTTACACTTATCGGTAACTTAAGGCAAAGTGCCTTCTTCTCTAAGAAAGAATTTCAATAATTTGTTATCTAGAATTTCTATTCAAAATAGAATTGAATTTCTATAAAATCTATTTTGAATTCTTTTCTTTTCTTTTGTAGAATAAGCGGCTGTTATGATGGTTTTTGTGGCTGAAAAGCCGGCTGATGCTGTTTTGGTGTGAGAGAAAAACTGTATTATGGCTGATAAGTCAGGCTGATAAGTTCAAGCGAACAGGGCGTATAAAATTCTATGATTTCATTTCTTTTCCAGAATTTTCTATAATTTATTATTTTCTATCATTTATTGTATTTTATAGAATTTCTTCATTTCTTTTCTAGAATTTCTATAATTTATTATTATTTTTTAGAATTTCTATTCAAAATACAATTTATAGAAAGCGATTGAGATCTCCGTCGCATTGTCACTTGAAGCAGCAACAATAGCATATTTTGTTCCTGCATTGCTGTTTGTTTTACCTGCTAGGTTACATGATGTGGTTCCTTGCAGGTTCCTTTTATTGGTATTGGATGTCATACTTGTTTGAGTGGCTTTTTCCTGCAAAAATGTCTAATCATTTCCGTACCTAATCCTACATAATTGAACATTTTCTGGAATTCTTTCTAGGACGAGCATGTCGTCTGAAAGCCATTTATGCATGGATTACAGTCGTGCTATCAATGAATTGGTTGCTTCCATGACCCGAGAGCTTGTATATTGGCGGTCCCATGGTATAATTGATGACCATGGAACTAAATGCACCCTGATTTACAAGGTCCTCGAACACATTCGTGCATCAGATCCAAATGCTTATGAGCCAAGGGTTCTCTCTATTGGTCCTTATCACCACAGTATCCCCTCATTATTACCAATGGAAAAAGAAAAGTGGATGTGCCTTGACTATGTCCTTAAACTGAATCCCAGTAGAAGTTTACATGACTACCTAGCAGTGATATCAGCACTAGAGAGGGAAGCAAGGATGTGTTCTGCAGAGGATGACATAATAATAGGAACAACGTTTGTGGAAATGCTCTTGCTTGACGCCTGCTTCATACTTGTATGCCTTAATGGCATTGGAGCGATCAGACTACAAGCAGATATGCATGGAAAATATTCTTATGAACGAGACAAACTGACAGAGCTTCTTGTTGGACAGAATAAATCAATTACAAATGACAGTGAAACAATGTCGGGGATGCCTAACCTCTCTTGCACAACAAACGATGATTTTGTACTTCAGATGAACGCTTTGCAGATGGAAGAAAATAGAGTTGATTCTCATCAAGAAAACATTCATGGTAACATTGTTGGCCAGGACCAAGAGAACTTAGAGATGGGTGAACAATGGTACAATAGTTCTGCTGTGTATGATCTACTCCTGTTAGAAAACCAAATCCCCTTTTTTGTTGTTACCAAAATATATGAGCTTCTAGTAGATGATGAAAGCATTACACCCAGATTACTTACAGATAACTTGGCAAGATTCATAGAAGGTATTCTGGTGCACTTCCCTCTATCAATTCAAGATACCAACAGGCCAAGGGACTTCGACCATTTGCTCCACTTATGTTACATGTATTTCAAGCCTACACACCGAATGCAAGACAACCACAAAATGAAGAAAACGGCTGGTTACATTTACAATCTTCTATGTTCAGGTTTCAAGTACTTGGGTAGTAATGTTGGCTCAAATGAGAATGAGAAGAATGCACTACAAAATGCACACTCTGATGACTGATATTCTGTTAAGCTAATAATGAAACGGTGGCGCAGAGCAGAAGAATACCATGAAGCTGGGGTTGAATTTACAGAAAGGATATTTGATGAACATGAGCCGCACTCTCTATTGGATATAGAGTTTAGAAATGGATTACTTCATATCCCATGTTTGCCAATTGATGATAAATCTGGCACTGTATTTAGGAATCTTCTTGCTTTTGAGCAGACCTGTCCCTCAGTTGGCAATGATTTAGCTTCTTATGTGTATTTCATGTCTCAGCTCATCAGTGTTCCAGATGATGTTGCTTTGCTTTCTCGGAAAGGAGTCATTGTAGATCAGCTAGAAAGCGATAAGGATGTGTCATCTCTGTTTGCTGAGCTCTTCGAGAATATTGATTTCAATTTCAGCGGTGAGCATTATCTAAAGTCGTTATGTCATACTATGGAAGCACATTATCAAAGTCGAGTAAATAGATGGATGGCATGGTTGTGGCATAAACATTTCGGTAACCCATGGTTAGGCTTCACAGCTTTAGCATCAGTTGTCATGGTCTTCTGTAGTATAGGACAAACTATTCTTGCTTTCCTGTCCTATATGAGCAAGTCATGACTACTACTACTACTATTATGATGGCCTATTGTCTAACTATTCTACTGAAAATAATGGTAGACTGAAATTAGCTCACCACTAGGAAGAGCAGTGAGAATGTGAGATGGATAGAGGGGTGGACAGGAAGGAGGCATTTTATAAACTTTAATTGTAATAAATACCAGACCTCTCAATTTTAGTTTTTCAGTGTGAAACATGCTACGGAAGTACAGAACAATTATGGCAGACGGAAGTACACAACAATTATCATCCTGTTCGTTTGGCTGTGGCTTGTCATAAACGATCATATATTTTCAGCCGGAACAGTATTTTTCTCTCACACAAACCAGCCAGCAGTACTTCTTCACGAACCAGCAACGATATGAACCAGCCAACCGAATATGCTGTATGGTAGACGGAGGTAACTCTTGTATGAAAAATTGTTCCAAATCATCACTCAACGACGACCGTGTTGTGATAGAATCATCATTCAACGCATTTAAAAAGGGTTGAATGCTGAGTGATAATAAGTTCTCTTGCATATATCAATTTAGAGCAATATAAGAGTTCGTCAAAAACTAATAGTCAAATTCCTTAGTTTAGCCATTGTGTAAAATAGACAAAAGTTCTAAGAGCAACTTCAAGAGATGATGTATATTTGTTTTGGAGTCAAATTTTAGATTTTCTTTTAGCAAAAACAGAAGCAGGTTTTGTATCCAGTAATTCAAAATAAAACAGGGCTCTAACAAGCCGCGAGAAGTCCAGGATAGATGGTTTCTTATTTTGGATTACTGGATACAAAACTTGTTGCAGCCTGTTTTTGCTAAAAAAATATAAAATTTGATTCCGAGACAATACATCATCTCTTGGTGTTGCTATTATATGGAACTTGTCAAATCATATTTTGAATGCACAAGTCGCATATGAATTTATATGGAAATTTCATTTGAAACAATCCAATTCCCACAATAGTCAGAAAAGAAAATAAATGTGCAAAAACTTAAACATGAGATGGCATACAAATCCATCTCAGCACATAGGTCTAGACCTTCACGGGCTAATCTTACTAGGAGATATTGATACCTATCTAGGGTCCATCATATGCTGCATATCTAGGTTAGAATCTAGCTACATAACCTACAAGATTTTGATTCCATAGGGGTGGAGCTGCCATCACAGCAGTTTCTACTACCAGCTGGTACAGTGACATTACTTCGGATTATGCTGTATATAAGAGGTGGCACATAGATCGAAAAAAACAACCTTTGTTGGAAACTACATACCATAAAGCACGTAGAATGGGGAGCAAGAAAGCCCTCGTTGCCTTTGCAATGGCGGTGCTCATGGTCGGACAGCTCGCTGCTGGAGCCACCGTTCTAGGTGAGCAGCACCAGGGCATACCGGTTTCAGATGGCGGACGGCCGACAGGTCTTGGATCAGGACACACTAATCTTCATGTTCTGGGTATTAGATCTGTTCCTCGTTCTCCTGACCAAAATAATCTCGTTCTCCAACTGTGGTTCAACTGTATACTTTTTCCCCTGTCAGGAAACAGCCAACGCACTGCTGCGGGTGTAAATGAAGACAAGGCTTTCGACAGCGCTCGCGGTTATTTCATTCCACCGACCCTCCCACCTTGTCGCCGTAAGGCATGCTGAAAGGCAGGAATATTATGTTCCTGAGCAGTTCCTGTGTTCGGTTCTGGTCCAGGTTTACCCATCATCTTGCGTCATCAAAGTATGTAACAAGCGAATGAATAATCGTAGTGTCAGTATTCTCCTTAATTGTTTGTATAATGTCATAGTCCCCCGATATTCAGTCTAATAATAATAATCGCAGTGTCAGTATTCTCCTTAATTGTTTGTATAATGTCATAGTCCCCCCGATATTCAGTCTAATAATGAGTAAGCGTCTACGTGTGGTTCAGAAATTGTACCCATCCAGTAACATTCATGTTCATGTCTCGTTATTATCGTTAGAAGATGATAGCAGCACGATAGTAGAAGGGGAGGAATTGTAACAAGTTACTGAGTTCTATAAAAAGTTGTTTCGTAAAGAGTAGGTGACAAATATTCAACGTGGATAGAGTGGGTTCTTCAAGCTGTTCAAGGTAGTAGAGTGACTATGGATTTAAATGGTAAGGGGTCCTTTCTTTAGGAGTTTTATTAAAGGGCTTTGCTAAGGTGATCTCCTGTCACCTATTCTTTTTAATTTGGTGGCAGATGTTCGTAGGACTGGGCAATCGGTTTTAATCGACACTTCATTTCTTTTTCTTTTTTTTTCGTAAACTTCGTTTTCAGAATTCAGCAACCGACCATGTTTGTGATAAGTTCAGTGTCGGTTTTATCGGTTCGGTTTTCGATTTTAAACTTTAAATCGATTATTATGACAGCACAGACAACACCGGGAAGAGAAAAGGATAAACATTAAACGTCTCGCTGCCTCACTCGCAGATGCGCTGCTGGGTCGCCGACACACTCGTATGCATGTAGCTGCCATCGTGCTTCTCCTCAGCAACGCATGCCTCGCTAGTCGCCGGCTCGCTGCGGCTTGCTGACTTGAGATTTGAGAACAGCAAACTTTAGGTTTGAGTTTGGCTTGGCGGACGGGCGCGAGGCTGTGGTGTCGCTGTGTCGAGCGGGCCCGACGGCCGTGGCGAGAAGACGCGGTAGCACTGCTGGTGCCCAATGACAGCGGTACGGGGGCATGCGGCTGTGCCCGTCTCCATGAGGAAGATGCAACACTGGTAGGGTGACTAGGGTAGCGTTTGGTCTGGGTGCGTAGTGGGATGGGACGGACCCAACCCAGTTTTTAGGGATGACACGGTTCTAGTTTTCTATTTGGTTGAGAAGATGTGATGGTTTAAGAAGGCAACATATTAGTCTCGGCGCCTAAGAACCAGGTGACTCGAGTCTTGTCTTGCGACGGTTGAAGTTTCCTTGTTTTTCTCTCCGATCCCCTTGTCCTGGCCTGGTTTTCGTCCCAATTTCTGTGTTTGAGTCCACGATCCAGTCCTCCATTAGTGTCCAAGTCAAATTCTCCATTTCGGAGCCCTAGCCCAAGTTCTGCTAGCCTTTATTTCTTGTCTGTTAACTGGTGTTGTGCCCTTTTGGTTTCGAGGAGTTTGGAGTGTCCCGGTGGTGCAATGGAGGCACTACTAGAAATATTCACTTGTATAACGAATAGATTTCATTCACTGAAGGAGCCAAATTCGTCATAATTTCATTTTGATGACGAAAAACGGTTTGTCATAGAATTCGCGTTATTCTTGCACATCTATGATGAATCTGACAAAATCGTCATAGAAGTGTCTTGATCTGTGATGAAAAACAAATCGTCATAGAACTATTTTGGCATGTGTGATAGGGGGCTGCCACGCTGGTGGGTGCTTCCATTGGAGATGCTTTGCCACGTGTACATGTTATATCCCACGTGTACATGCTATAGCCTGTTGTATTGGAGATGGTTCAGGTACATGTCACCTTCTTATTGCACAACGTGGCCATCTCTGGTTTTTACGATCAGGTTCTTACTGGACCACATGTCGGGTCCCTATTGTTCCACATGTCAGTTTTCTATTGGCACACATGTCATGTTGTGGTTGGATCATGTGTCACTTCTTCATTGGACCATATTTCGTATTTTTATTGGTCCACGTGGCCGTTTCTTATTTGACCACATGTCATGGCGTTGTCCGTCCATGTTTCGTATTTTTATTCGGCCACGTGGTTTCATGACTTCCTTCTACGTGTCGGAGTTTTAATAGCCCATATGTTGAGTCCTGGCTATTGCACGTGTCATGCACTAATTTGTTCACTTATCGCATTTTTATTTGTTCACGTGGCATGTCCTGGTTCTACCATGTGGAGTATAATCAATTCGTCGTAGAAGTAATTCGAGATCATCACTACTACACAGATTGACTACATAACTATTTAGCCTAGCAATCAAATAACAACAATTAACATTTCACACATCAATAGCGAACCACTGATAGAGTATCACCACATCAAACCGCCATACAAGTCCACATATCAAACCAGCACATGAGTCCATATATCAAACCACAAATGTTCACTATATCAAGCCACAGGAGTTGAAGACTGAGAATTACTAGAAGTGCTGATGCGCGTGCATAGCTCACGAAGATTGTTGTACTCCTCCTGTTGTCGTTTCTTGTATTCCTCAAGCCCCCTTTCAGTCTTTTCTGTCTTTCTCTTTAGTTTATCCACTTGATCGACAAGGGTAGCGGAACTTTCTGTTCAGCAGCAAGTTGTTCCTGAAGCATTCTCTCCGCCGATGTCTCTGTTCTGGTGGAGCTTATCTAGATATCAACATTCTTCAAAAAAGGTTATTGCCGCTTCCCTAGGAGGGGGCATTGCCTTGGTTGATGCAAAGGACCTTGCAAACAACATCAGCACTAGTAACTAGTTGCTGCCCATCAGCAACATGTTATGCTTGCATAGTTTCCATAGCTTCTTGCGAAATTCAATCAGTAAAACATTATGTTACAGATAGTGTAAGAGGACTTCAATTGAAAACCCAAGATATTGATTCACAACAAGTAATGCATAGGTCTTCCTTAGTCTACTGCTGATAGAGATTATATAAGCTTCAGTAGATTTTAGTAGATTTCTATAACACTAGGCTCTTGCTATGTTTCCTTCTTTTATGGTAATGGCTTCAATAGATTTCAAAGGAAGCAAAATAAGGCACTTACAACTGCTGCTCTTGCAGCATCGCTCAGACCCTTTTTCCTACTGGTATGGAAGTCCCTGAAGACTTCCATAGCATTAACATATTCATCAGATGGACCATTTTCTTCTTCAAGTCCTTGATCGTGTTCTGTTGCCTCCCTCTCTGTTCTCCTTCTGTTCACATGGCACATGAATTTCGGTTTATATTTATACAAAGGCAAGAGTAACAATAAAACACAACCATCACTTATAAATTTTTGCATCTGGACAACATAGGAGCGAGATCCTGTAGCCTTGTGGTACTTCACTTTTGCACGGTTTCGC